TGAATCGCGGTCGACCGCCAGTCTGTCTGGCTGAATTTCTGGGTTGTTTTCTTCAGCTGTTTTCTAATTCTTCAATTCTCCATCTCGGCGAATGTTTCTACCAAAACTAAGCCGATACCAAATCATCCAAAAGTCCCGCAACAAGTCCGGGAACCAAACTAGAGCTAAAACGCGATCTCCCTCTATCTGAATCAACAGATCAAACCGGCTGCATCTGAAAGACTACCTACGTATCCTCTTGCCCAAGGAATTAAACCGAACGTAGTTCACCCAAATAGCCTCCAAAAGCCTCAATCCACTAGAAGAGTTCGCAACCCTTCTCCAACATCACGATCTGGTCTATGGCTGATAGCACCTCCAATTGCCCCAAACTAAAATAATCCAAACATCTCCACCTAAGATGAACCAATGGCCATATCTAGACTCCATCGATCAGCTACACTCGAATCGATCAACCTATCGTCTTCATCCAAATCAACATGATTCCCAATCTGTGTTACATTAGCTAGAATCCAAAATGATGCAGTATGATCTGGAGTCTCCACCTAACGTGAAGTAGCATCACTCTCCACCCGCTGCGATGTCCCAAATATCTGATCACCACTCTCCACCTGCCGAGAGTTAAATGTGACATACCTACTCAAAACAAAGTCAGAAGCCAATACCTGATAATCAAACACGCCTCTGACTCCTAAATATGCTATCGGATCAAATCTCACATCCATGATATGACCAAGTGTTGGGTAGCCAAACATCCGACGTAATCCAAAATCTGAAGCAGCTCCTCCAGATCCAAAATCTCTACATGTAGCAGTCGGCAACCTATTCATAATATGACCCAAACATGTCGTAGTCCGCACACCAATGTTAATGCTCGACATCAAACGTCGATCCTCCTCCAGCAAGGAATAGCTCCCCAAATCTATCATCTCATCGCGTCGCCTCAAAGTTTCCACACCAATGGAGTGTCTCTAATTGCCTTGAGCTAGGCACAAACGCAAGAAAGAACCCCTACCATAAACAGAACGTTGGGTTATATTTTTGCCAACACACTTCCTCCATCTGTTATGGGCTTCTAGAACTTCACACCAATGGGATTTGGTTGCAACCCATCAATACCTAGAACAATCCCCAACTGTGAAAACCACATACCTATTTCCTTCCAATAATGCTCCCTTGGAAGGCCCACGAATGCCTGAATGAACACCCCTCAGAAGACCCCTCGAATGATGGATAGAAGTGCCAAACTCCACCCCAATCTTCTTGCTCATACCAATGGGTTCACAGGACTTCAAACTGCAGGTCAAAACACTCCTCAACAACCTATGCACGGTATTACCAATCAAATAACCCAGCATCAAACAACACCACAGTCTAGCCGAATCTGATGAAGTCGTCAACTCCTTATCAATCGCCGTGCTTCCAAGCAAATAATACAAATTGCTTCTTCTGACGCGCTTCATCACAATTATGGACCCTAATGTGACATTCAAACGTGCATCCACCAAGGTCACCCTAT